TACTTGAAGTACTGCCTTACCCCATATTGACCCACTCAAGCACTTTGATCTGCAGAACTGGCACTTTTACAAGCACCACATAATGTCTGTACCACACTTGCAAGGAATCAGTCCTTGAGTGGGGCAGCACCTACTCTCCAGAAACCCTATTCCTATTGATATTATACAGGCCCCTTCGTTGTATTTCTTTCAACGCCTGCTGAAAACACTTTTTTGTTTAAGCAAGCCTGTAAAGATATGTGGCTTTCTTATGCATGTTCATTTTTAAATTGCTGATTTAATCTTGATACCTTGTATGCCTACTTGTTTTTAATGTTTGATTTTATCGGTGGAGGTTTCTGCTGATTAAGTGGTACATACATTGTGTTAAGTGAGTCAATAAGTCTCACCTACCCCACTGCTCTCTGTGTTACTGTGATGGCCACCAAACTGGATGGCTTTGAAAGAGGATAAGGCAAATTCATGGAGTACAAGAAGAAGAAGAAGAAGAAGAAGAGTTTGGATTTGATATCCCGCTTTATCACTACCCTGAGGAGTCTCAAAGCGGCTAACATTCTCCTTTCCCTTCCTCCCCCACAACAAACGCTCTGTGAGGTGAGTGGGGCTGAGAGACTTCAGAGAAGTGTGACTAGCCCAAGGTCACCCAGCAGCTGCATGTGGAGGAGCGGGGACGTGAACCCGGTTCACCAGATTACGAGACTACTGCTCTTAACCACTACACCACACTGGCTCACACAAGGCTATCAACAGCTACCAGTCATGATGGTTATGCTCTAGGCCCATTGACAGAAGCAGCATGCCTCTGAATACCAGTTGCTGGAATTATCACAAGTGGGCAGAATACTGTTGTGCACATGCCCAGCTTCCTGGCTTCCCATAGGCACCTGGTCGGCCACTGTGAGAATAGCATATTGGGCTAGAGGAGCCATAGCGTAATATGACAGGGCTCTTCTTATGTATGTGCAAATTAGGCATGTTCCTGAAACCATGCAAATAAGTAGATAATTTTTGATAGGGTTGTGTGGTTAATTGCACCGAGATTCTTGTTGTACAATGTTTGAACGATATGTGCATGCGCTCCTGCCCATGAATAAAATACCACATGAAAAAGAATCTTGATACAACCAGTCGTACAATCGCATCAGGATGGTTCTTGTGTCGTATGTTCTTCAACAGGGCCAGACCAAGACATTTAGGCAGCTGAGGTGAACCACAAAATGGAATCCCCACCTCCGCACCAGGGAAGAAGGGGTGAGTGGAGCTCCAAAGCAGTAACAAAGGGGCAATAATGATCCACATCTGAATCTGATGCCCAAGTGGTTCCTGCCGCCTGAGGTGGCTGCCTTGCCTCATGGGTGGCCCGGCCCTGATTTTTGGTACATGCAGACTATGTATGCAAGCCTACTTAGAAGCCCATTTTGCAATTAAGTGGCATATAGGCCAATCAATGATGTGCATTAGTAAAACATGTACAATGGCATCAAGGGCCAGTTTCTTCCCCCTTCAGTGGTTTATCGGTGCATGCACACACATTGCTAATACAGAACTGGGGGGGGGGGGGAGCAGATGAATGGAAGGAATTGAAAGCCACACCAAAATGTTCACACATTGCAAACGAATGCACTGCAAAATTTGAAAATAAAACATGGAATTATGGTGAATTCCTAATGTGGCTAGTTTCCACTTCGGAAACAAGAAAAGCTTGTTAGGCCACAGGGAAACTCAGATGGGAAGCATTTTAGAAACACCCATGATCTGTTGAGCCATCATGGCTAATAGCTATTGGATTTCTCCTGTGTGCACTTCCTGGGGAGTAAGTCCTATTGAGCAATGAAGCCTATGTCTGCGTAGCTTGCACTGCACAAGAGCTGCATAGAAGGCTAGTAATAGTCATATACTGGGAGATGCATGAGGTTACTCAATGTACAGTAAAACTTTTCCCTAGGCTAACAAATTCCTTCCAAGGATGCAAGTCATCATTCCAACACATGGGCTCTTCTGTTTAGTTTAGGCACTTTAACAGTTCATCAGTGAAGATTGGTCCATTAGGACCCTGTGGAGCACTGCCCTTCCAAGACCCCCCCCCCCCGTGTGCCCCCAGCCCCCTCCTGCCTGCCTTCCTGTTTGCAACCAGTCCAGGGTGTGGCACTGGCTGTCAGCTTCCTCCTGCTGTTTAGCCTCAGTGTTGCCATTATAGAACTCAGTAAGGGCGTGGGTGGCGCTGTGGGTTAAACCACAGAGCCTAGGACTTGCCGATCAGAAGGTCGGCAGTTCAAATCCCCGCGACTGGGTGAGCTCCCATTGCTCGGTCCCTGCTCCTGCCCACCTAGCAGTTCAAAAGCACATCAAAGTGCAAGTAGATAAATAGGTACCACTCTGGCAGGAAGGTAAACGGTGTTTTCGTGCACTGCTCTGGTTCGCCAGAAGTGGCTTAGTCCTGCTGGCCACATGACCCAGAAGCTGTACGCCGGCTCCCTCGGCCAATAAAGCGAGATGAGCGCCGCAACCCCAGAGTCGGCCACGACTGGACCTAATGGTCAGGGGTCCCTTTACCTTTAAGGAGAAGAATTGGGGCAAAACTAGCATTAGTTGGCTCTGCCTGTCGTTGGCTCTGGCACTATATACTGTTGGCCACCTGGCACAAGTGATAACCCTGCAGCCCAACAGGTGGTCAGCTCCCATCTGCCCCAGCTAGCACGGGCAATGGTTAGGGATGAGGGGATCTGCAGATCAGCAACATCGGGATAGCCATTGCTTCTCCTTCCACTGTTCTGCTGCAAGAGGGAAAATGCAAACTGAAGAATCCACTGGCTGAATGAGACGGACATGCAGCACATGCTTCCTCAGAAGTCAGTCTCCCTGTGGAGCTTACTCTCAGTGTTTACAGGGTTGCAGTCCAACTGACTCCAATGGAAAGCACAACAGGGAGGGGGAAAGAGTGCCAGAGATCTGCCAGAACATCACCCTTGTTTTTCCAAAGTGGTGGGACAGTGACGACCCTTGGCTCCTCAAGTCCCATCAGGTGGAGCCAGCATGGCCAGTGGTCAGGGATGATGGAAGTTGTGGTCCGACAACATCTGCAGGGCTCTGTGTTGACTAACTCTATTCTAAATCATGCCTCATCATTTTCTATCAACTTTTCACAGATACTATGACATTTAAATGATGATAAATTGAGGGTCTGGGACACAGGTGGTGCTGTGGTCTAAACCACTGAGCCTCTTGGGCTTGCAGATCAGAAGGTTGGCGGTTCGAATCCCTGTGACAGGGTGAGCTCCTGTTACTCAGTCCCAGCTCCTGCCAACATAGCAGTTTGAAAGCATGCCCCCCCCCAAAAGTGCAAGTAGATAAATAGGTACCGCTCCGGCGGGAAGGTAAAGGGCGTTTCCGTGCACTGCTCTGGTTCCAGTGTTCCGTTGCACCAGAAGCGGCTTAGTCATGCTGGCCACACGACCCCGAAAAACTGTCTGTGGACAAACACCGACTCCCTCGGTCTGTAAAGCGAGATGAGCACCGCAACCCCAGAGTCGTCTGCGACTGGACTTAACTGTCAGGGGTCCTTTACCTTTTTTAAAAAATTGAGGGTCTAACACTTATCTGAGGCCTAAATATACCACACAGCTTGTTTATCATTAATAGATTTCTTTGGATTTCATACCAGCTGGGATCTCTGTCTGATACACAGGGTTTATATAAGACACAACCCGCTGGGACATTTTCTCAGAGATCTGTAGAACATAGTGGAAGTATTTTTTCAAAGACAGAGTTTATTGCTAAAAATGTTTTGATCAGTCATGGTTGATATGTACACTGATATGTTGCAAAAGGAATATTCAAGTAAACATTTTCAATATTTTCTGGCATAATCTCCAGCTTCCCCCCCAACACCTCCTATACACAAACATTAAAAAATAAATAAACTGTACACAAGAAATTTCTTTTTAACGTCTCTACATTACTATATGTATTCCAAAACAAAACAATCCATCACTCTTTCATAACTTCATAATTTTTTTTAAAAAAATCTCCTTAATCAATATACATATTTTTTTAAAAACCTAGACAACTTTGAATATTAGTCTGAAGATCAGTGACAAGTTCAGAAGATAACAAACAAACAAAAATATACAGGAAACGGAAATTAAACACCTTCCCAAGGGGTTTGTGGGGGAAAGATGGGTATCATAAACCATCTTTCTGGGGAAAATATCTCCCTTCCCTTATGCTGAAGGAAAGTGTTCCATTTTGAAAGGGTTGGGCTCAACATGTGGTCCTGCATCATCACCATTTTATTATTAATAATAATAATTATAATAATAATAATAATAATAACAACAACAACAACAATAATTATAATTATAATAAAAATAACCAGAAAAACACAGCGGATCTTTCCCCCCTTTTAAATTCTCTATATTTACAAAGGATGGTAATTTTCCTCTTGTTAGAATGCTATATATATATATGTATAAAAATAAACATCTTATTGTAGTGCTTAGCTTTTCTTGGGCCTGCACTGCAGTTCCTTTCAGGTTTTGCTTTCCCCATTTCAAATAAAATAAAATAATTAAAAAAAGAAATACAGTGCAAGGGGTTGCTGGGACAGGGTGGGGGTAGGACTGAGAAATGAATAAGCAAGGTCTCGTGTGTCAAAAATTTCTATGTCCCCTTATCTTGGGAGCACAAGGTCCACCAGGAGACAAGCGAGTTCTTCATTCAATCATAAAAAAAAAAAACCCTAATCAAAGTTGCAAGATTACTGACACCTGTCATATCCATCAACAATCTGATTGGAGGTTCTCAGGATGCCAAGGCCTCTTGGACTAGTCCCCCGTGTGAGATTTCCAGAACAGTGTCTACTCCACCCCATCTCAAGGGACTGGGGTTGTTCTGAAAGGCAGTTCTGCTAGAGCTGATCCACATGCAACACGCATATATATATATACACACACAGGAGCAATGAGGTCTCTTAGATCCAGCAGGACACCCCAAAGCTGAGGCTAGCAGGAGCATTTGCATTCTGAAATCACAGGGTACTGGACAGGAATCCAGGTGCAATATTTCTGCTTTGACCACCCTTGGCAGTACCATCTCAGGAAGGTCTTGGTGACTGACTTGACTGGCTTACAGGACATGCCCTCAGGGAAGGAGCAGGACTTCTCCGCAAAGCAGTTCCCTTCCTTGATGTAGCGAGGCCAGAACCTCAGTCCCAGATCCTTCCAGGTGTACAGCACCGGGCAATAGGTGTACGCCCAAAGCCACTGCAGAAACTTCCGGCGGGCTTTCTTGCCCATCTTGAGCCTGGTCCCATAGGGAGTCTCGCCCAAGTCCAGCTTCTTCAGCTCGTTGGGCAGCGGGCCAAGGCCTTTGAACCGGTGCAGGGCATCCGAAGCAGACAGGTTGTTGGCCTGGGCTGGGGCCGCCACGGACATGAAACTGGGGTCAAAGTTGCTGCCCAGCTTCTTCCTCAAAGTCCGCTCGTCCAGGTCTTGCTCCTTGGGGTCATACTCCGGGTCGGGATGCTCGATGATGTCCTTGACAGGCAGGCTGTCGCTGGGGGAGGGCCGGAGCCGCAGGTAGGGCTGGCAGGAGCCCGGCTGGAGCAGCAGCGCTAAGCAAGAGCAGAGCAGGAGAGCTTGGGGGGCCGTCATGCTCTCCTCAGCCCAGCCCAGCCCCAGGGCGCAATGTAAGACAGGGGGTCCCCACCAGCAGCCCCAGACAACACCCAGGCACTACCGTGGACTTGCTTCTTCCTTGCCTGCCCCCTTTCGCCGATTGTTAATACTCCACGGCCCCACTTGCCAAGTCCAGGGGGTTCATAAATAGGCTGAGACAAAGTCCAGCAAGGCCTCTGGCTTTAAATAGATCGCCAAGGGGTTAGATGACAGACGCATGTAAGGTCCCCCTTGGCACTCCCTCCCTGCTACTAATCAAGCATGGTGAGCGGGGAGAGGTGGGGAGGGGAGAAAATGGGGTGGCAGGGAAAGGAGAATCGGGGTGGGCGGGAAGCGGCCGCCCCCTCCTTGCGAAACAGCCTCCCCAAAGGGCAACCCAATTCTTTCTAGCTCTTGGCCGTTCCAACCCCCCTGCTTCTCCTTCTCCTTCTCTCCTCTCTCTCTCTCCAAAAAATTCACAGCGGACCGACCTCCATCCCCATGGTGACAGCTGGACTTAGACCCACGACAACATGTCTAGACGGTATGACAGGGTTTGGCGTGAGACTGGAGCCCAGGAATAAAACCCTCTTTTATAGATGGGGAACTGTGGAAAAGGGGTGGGGGGAGAGCGGGCGTAGCAAAGGGGTGGGAGGTGGAGGTGGGGGCTGGAGGAGAGGGTTTTTACAAAAAGAGGGAGAGTCACAAGAAAACGGGGCCAATTTTTTGGTGGGGTGGGGGGCTCCCCACTTTTCCCTGTTCTCCCCCGCCCCTTCGAAGTGCAGTCAATTTCTTCTTGTTGCGGGTTATTGTTATTATTATCTCCTCAAACAGCCGCAGATCCCCAAGGAAACTGCCAAACGGCCCCAGGATAACTTTTCTTCATTTTCGACGTCTTTTCTTCGAGAAGGTGCAGCGTGTCCGAGCGCAGTGGGGGGAGAGGGGATCTTGCTCGACCGCGGAGGACAGAGAGCAGAAACTTTCCGCGCTCCCTTAGTAGGATCCAGCTGCCCCCGAACCTATCTCCGAGGTCATCCTCCGCGCCACTCCAAAGCGCAGGCACCCAATAAAATCCCAAAAGCCGCGGGTGGGGAGCGAAGCACGAGCCACTGCCCCAAAGGACGAAACTCAAAAAGCCTCCGAGGAGATCGCCCCCCGATGCAACTCCGAGGGGCGGCGAGTCCGGGAGCCGAGAGAGATCGAGGATCGGAAAGAGTTGCCTCGCTCGCCTTGGCGGGGGTTGGGGTTTGTTTTTCAAGCCAGCCAATTGGCAAAAGTCAAACGCGTCGCCCCGCCGTCGCCAGGCTGATCTCTTTCTCCAGGAGCTTCAGGATCCCGGGAGTCGGGGGGGGGGAAGCTGCGGGGGGCGGAGAAGCCGCCTGGCTGGGTGCGCGCGGGGGGCTCGCCTCCTTCTCGCCGCCGCCTCGCAACGTGCTCTTCTGCGGGAAAGAAGGGAGTGAGCGAGCAAGCGAGCTTTCGTTGCAGCAGCCTCGGCTCGCCCCGTCTCCAAGGCTCGGCTCGGGAGGAATGCCTCGATCCTCTTGCTGCTGCTGCTGCTGCTGAATCTGGTGCGGCGGCGGCGGCGGCGGCGGCGCCTGGCTGCCTCCTCGTGGGGCGCCGGAAAGGCGGCGAGGTCCTTCCTTCGCTCCCTGCCCTGCCGGGGTGGCTGGCTCGCTTCTCCGGCGGAGCGCCTGGTCGCCGTGCGCCTCTCGTGCGCTCCTGCCCGCGCTCTTCCTCGCCCAAGCGCCTCGCTCGCTCGCTCACTCCTGCGCCCAATGGCTCCGCTGCCCAGCCAGCGCGCGACTGCTGCGCTCGCCTCGCTCAATCCCAAATTAAATATCCCCCCTCGGATGGAGCCAAGTGTCAACGGGAACGGCCCACCTCTGTCACTTTCACCACGTTGCCTGATTGACAGCTCCCGCTCGCTCCCTCCCCTCCGCTCCGCCGGCCCTAAATTGAAGCGCGCGCGAGACCCGCCGCTGGGTCCTAAAGATGCACCATGTTCCTGCACTGGGGTCCTGCACTGGGGGCTCCCTGGCTCCTTCTCTCTTGCAGGCTTGCAAGGAAGGTTGCGTGTGCGGTGAGAGAGCGGGGGGGTGGTGGTTGGTTTCCATGCGAAAAGTATTACTAATGAAGAAGATTATTATTATTATTATTAACATAGGAAGCTGAGCTGCCTTATACTGAGTCAGACCATTGTCCCATTTGGCTCAGTGTTGTCGACACTGGCTGGCAGCGGCTCCCCAGGGTTCCGGACAGGAGTCTCCCCCAGCCAGACGTGCAGATTCTGGGGATTAAGCTAGGTGCCCTTTCCCTTCTTAGTATTTATATCACTCCAGCGTTGTTGAGGCACCGATTTCGGATTCTATACGCATTTCCCTCTGGGCAGACTGTAGGGTCGCGTTGTTATTGTGGCTCGAGCGCTGGTGGACAACCCCAGTGGGCAGACCCCAGTGTGTGTACAGACGAAGACAGACAGCACACAAGCACACGCAGAGGTATGGGGGTGGGGGCGTGAAATGCAAGATGCACAGCCTGTGGCACGTCTGCTCTGCGTAAAGTTCAAGCGTTTTATTTTGCTTTAAAGAGACTAAGCCGGCTACCCCCTGGAATTTACAAAAAGCACTTGTCTCGCATTTGATCTTCCAGCCAACCTTTGAGATAATAATGGACCGGATTCCGGTGGAGCACTCCAACTGTCAGGATGCAGGGGCGGCGCGGGCGGGGTAAGGGGAAGAGTGTAGGAGAAGCGATTTTTTGTTCTTTGCACGCGTCTGCCTTGTGTCTTTGCTACAACCCTCTCAATGTATCCTCCTCCGCTTCTTCTCCGCTTCTTCCCAATAGAGAAGGGAGAAGGCTGGGTGTTTTATTTTCTCTCTACTCTCCAATCCTAGACTAGGAAGGAGAGGGTGGAGACTGTTTGTGGCAGAATTCAAGGCACTCTGCACATGCCCTGTCTCCATATAACATCACATGCCCCCAAAGCTGAGCCCTGGCACATTTCCTGACAATAAGAAGTACTGATATTACCATCACAGAGGGAGGAGGAATTTACTTAGAAAGATTGATAAACCGCTTAAGCAGTGTACATAATCAAAAATGTAGATAACCCACAGCTAGAATCCACAGAATAATAATTATTAAATCAGATAAAATCAGTAAAATAAAAGCTTTAAAAATGAATATGAATGCAGGTAGCTAAAATGACCTTGTATACGTTGTGGCAGAGATGTCTTCTGGAAGGCATTTGAAGTGGAAAATTTTGTCTCTGTGTGTTGCTCACACCACATACAACAAGCAATTACTTTTGTGGCTTTCTGGTGAGGCAACAGCCTTTAATTTGCAAGATTTGATTTCCATTAAACGTTTAAATCATGCTTTGGATTTCATGTTCACAAGCCTGTGTGTCAGAATACTGCTTGTACCATTGGTTGCCTCACCTCGATGTCTCATCACTGTCAAGAGCACTGAAGTGTTATAATAATGATAATAATAATAATAAGTATTATTCTCCAGTTTATAAGTCACTTGCTACTTAAATAGTCCCATGAGTGACTCACAAAGTTTTAAAAACATACACCGTAACATGAAAATGAAAAAGAACAATGCATCACAATAAAAAACGCTACAAAAATCCACAGAACAGATTCTGAAACAGCTGCGAAAGAACCTTTGCTAGCAAAATATTTTGCCGTTGCTTTCTAAACAGTGTTATTTCTTATTTTTTGATGGTTGAATCTATGCTTTAAATTGTGTATACTTTATATTTTAATTCTTGTAAGCCACGTGTGGTGAAAAGCAGGGAATAATAATAATAATAATAATAATAATAATAATATCCAGCAGATCAGACTCATTCCTTTTTCAGCCCACCAACACCCACTTCTTTCGCACAACAGAGGAGCCCCAGTAGGCCACCCTACCAGGAGGCCCAGAGTTCTATCTTCTGGGATGCTGGGTCCCTGAAATCTCCCTGCTTTACCCCCCTTCACTAAATTTGAGAAGTGGTGCCATTTTTAAAGTTGCATTTAGTTTCACTGCAGTTTCACTCAGATACTCAGAAGTAAGTTCCACCGACAGCAAAGGATTGAAGGTCATGTGTTTAGGATCAGGATGAAATGAAATCAAAGAGGGTGACTTGACTGTCTTGAAATCTGGGGGTGGGGGCACAGAGAAGGCTCAGTCCAGTGCATTTGAGCTTACTCCACACTTAAGTCCTGGGGGAGTCCTATGGTCTTCGCTCTTTCCCCCTCAGCATGGAATAGGGATCATTTTGATAAGCGCATTTCCTAGTCTCGGTTCAGCTCCTGCCTCCATCGAAGCTTGTGGGCAGCAAAAGGGTTAATGGGGGTGTGAAGGAGATGGAGAAAACCAAGAGGCAACAGAGATGAGAAACTCAGCACAAGCTGCTGGCCGACCGCTGGGCGCTGCTGTAGGCACTTGTTTAGAAAAACCAGGCGGGGGAAAAGATGCCTGCGGTCTCGGCTCTCCCGGTTTTTTGTAAGAGGGCCAGCTCAGCAGAGAGCCTCGTGGGCTGCCCCGACTAGGACACTTTTCAGCTTCCTCCGCACCAAGGATGGGGAAGCAGTGGCCCTACGGATATTGCGCGGCTCCCCAGCTCCCTTCCGCCCCAGCCAGCATAGCCAATGGCCAGGGGTGATTGTAGTTCTGCAACATCTGGAGGGCCACTGGTTGGTACAGCAATAAAACTGCTAGCACATTTGCAAAGCTAAGCAGGGTCCAGTATGGTTCCAAATTGGATGGGGAACCACATGTTGAAATCCCTGCATTGCAGGGGGTTGGGCTAGATGACCCTCCAATTCTCCATCTCTGTGCTGCTGCAACATGGGAGATGCGGACTTGGGAGTCCACTTGTCTCATGCCCGTACATGTTTCCTCAGTAGTAAGTCAAGGGGGCTGACTCTCAGGAAAGTGTTTATAGGACTACAGCTTGTGGAAGCAGGCTCCCATTGGGACTAGTAGGATAGAAGGGACAG